TGGGAGTGTACCAAGTCCACTGTCTGATGCTGGGAATTATGTTAATTACTATATCAGAGGTCTTGGGACAAGGTGCGTCCAACTAAGTCGCCTTGACAACACGACCAAGTTGCAAAAACGAGGTCAGCCCACTACTATTTATATTCGCTTATGGTTATAAGTATATATATATATATATAGCATATGGAATAAAGCCGGATGGTCTTCATGACTGGAATTTGTGGAATTTGAGGAGTTCTGTTAGATGATTGACGGTAGCTTATCCCAGTTTCACTTAAAAAGAGTGACGTTGTTTCGTAGACTGCGTCAACTTCGAATTGGTACTGGAGCAAAACAGCTGCAGGGCAGAGGAAATCAGCCATCGTTTACAGTATCTCTTCTAATTGGCTATTTATGTCTGAACAGAAAAAAGAGTTACAACTTTAATGCGTCAGGTTAACAGTGCCTTAAACAAAACATAGGAAGAGAAACTGGGTTTCTATGAATCTCCTAAGATAACATTGTTGGGGGGACTTTCATTTCGTATGAAAGTGCATGAATAAGAGATTCGTAGGTTGATCCCACCATATGATGACGGAAGAATGCGCTGTACTGCAGCCGTTTGGCTTTTATACGACGTTCAGGTTGACACAGTCCACCAATATTATTGAACTGGAGGTGATCTTTCATTTTGACCACATAATACCGCCAAAAAAGATTGTCATCTTAGTAGGGTTTCTAGATATCTCTGTGGTAGTAATCTAATCGTAGTGAAAGCCGACAAAGGTGGAGCAGTGGTAGTCATGGCTAAGTCAAGTTATGCAGAAAAGATGCTAGTTCATTTAACTGACAATGACACGTATAGGCATTTGCGGAAAGATCCAACAGAAAGACTTAAGACTAGGCTAACGGATGCCTTTAAGGCATGCGTAAGTAATTGTGAAATAAGGAAGAAGAAATTGAATTCACTGCTTCAGAGAGATGCAAGGGCCCCCACGGCTTACGGTCTCCCTAAGGTTCACAAGGACGGTGTCCCTCTAAGGTTAATTGTAGATAAAAAAGGAAGCGGGATGCATAAAATCTCACATTTTTCTGCATACAACTAAGGAACTCCGCCAATTTTGGGCTATATTCAGCTAAAAATTCGTATGATTTTGTGAAATTTTCGAACAGCAGACACTTTCAGAAGAGGATAAGCTAGTAAGTTTTGATGTTGCGTCTATGTACACAAACATTCCTGTTTAAGTAGCTATTCAAGCTCTGATACAAACTCTAGATGAACATCGAGAGATAACACAAGGAATAAGGTGAAGTGTAGCTTCAATTATTAGACTTATTAATCTATGCATGACTACCACATATTTTACCTTTGATGGTTAGTTATATAAACAAACGCAAGGATTAACGATGGGATCTTGCCTTTCTCCCAGCTTAGCGAACAATTATATGGCAAAGTTGGAGAAACACCTTCTGCAAGAGGCAATACTAACACTCGAATTGTTGGATAGATACATGGATGACTATTTTGTCATCTGGCCTCATGGTGACGACAGTTTAGATATTTTCCTACTTTCCCTCAACCAGCGTGAAAAGAACATTAGGTTCACGATGGAAATGGAAGAGAATAAGTCCTTACCTATTCTGAATGTTCTCATCGTTAGAGAAGAGAGTAACTTAGTAAAAGATTCTTATGGGAAGCCAACTTCACTAAAACTCGTCCAACATGTTAGATTAAGCTCATCAACCAAACCAGACGTGCCAGATTACGCAGCCCCAGTCATGTCTTTCCTTTCGGGATTAAACGTTAATGATACCAGACTGAGAGGTTAGGACAAGAGGTTTCGTTACTTGACTTACATGTTTACAAGACCATATCTCATAATCTCAACCATACTTGCTTACGGGCTTATGCAGTCTCGGTTAGTGCTTTCTCTTGGGTCATCAGGCCTTGATGATCAGAGACTGACATTAGTCTTTTAGGACCGGTATTGCGTATAGATGCTAGCACACACATACAAACACGCACACACTCGAGCAATAGTATCAGGACCAGTATAAAAAATGATTATCCAAACCACTCTATATCTATCTAGGTTTTTAATTTTTTTTGCTTAATTGAGTCTATATAAGAGGTCAGATAGAGCCTGATAGTCTTATTGCCCTAGTGTTAATGTGAGACTTACAGGAATGACACCCAGCTTTGATGATGCCCATCACCCGAAAAGAGAAAGGTCTCGTGGACTGCGTCAACTTAACGTCGTATAAAAGCCAAATGGCTGCAGTACAACGGGATTCATTCTTCCTCTTCTGGTGAGATCGACCTACGAATCACTTATTCATGCACTTTCATATGAAATGAAAGTCCCCCCTGAAACAGAACAGATAAGCGATACCGTTTCTAGATACTGAGTTTCGATGAATCTCCTTAGATAAAATTGTTTGGGAGACTTTCATCCCTACGAAATTGCATTAAGAAGAGATCCGAAGGTTGATTCCACCAGAATACAGCTGATTCCTGTTGCACTGCAGCAGTTTGGCTTTCATACATCATTCAGGTTGACGCAGTCCACGCGACATCCCCCCTCGTTTCGGATAAAAAAGAGCTGAGCTTTCCTCCATCATGGTATGGAAATCATCAAAGCTGGAACTCATTCTTGTAAAAGTCTCAAGTTAGAACTAGGCCAGAAAGAATTTCCAGCTCTATCTTACGTTTTATATATGCTCAACCTCAAAAAGCGTAATCATTGTGATAAAAAAGCCTAATTTTATGCTCGATTTATCAAGGCCTAGGGACTCAAGACAAAACCCCTGACCGAGACTGCGTAAGTCTGCAAACAACTATGGTTGAGATATTGAGATATAAGCTTGTAGCGTGTAAGTCAGGTTACGAAACCACCCGTCATAACTCATCAACCGGGGTCATCAGGGTTAAACGACCCAAGGAAAGGTATAAATGAAAGCGCATAATCTCCTACGTCTGGTTTGGTTGATGGGCCTATTCTACATATTGGACGAGTAAAGTGAGGTTATAAATATTGTTGGGCTGACAGGTTGAGCTGCCTTTTGTAGATGGGAGCTTAACATCATCTACTTCAATCTTTTAATCAAGCATAAGTAGTTCAAAGAGAACAAACCAAGCTCTACCTTGGTTTTCATATCTAAGATCTAATTCCGATGGTAAGATTGCACTGATTACAGCAAATAGAATAAAACAATCATAGATCACTCTTGTTACTTGGCCTTTAGTAACTGTTGTAAACGTTATGACAGCCCTCCTAGATTTTACAATATGATGAGAAAATATCATTCCAATAAAGTTAACGTTATAGTATATTAAGCTTGTTTGCCAAAATTAGAGGAGACAAATTCTAGGGAGAGGGAAAAATAATTTAGGTAAGATTTTTGTCAGATTCTTACCCCGAAAGATTTTCGGAAACTACAGATTACAGACAAAATGACGAAAAGGATATTGGACTTAATCAAAAAAGGTACCAGAAGAAACTGAATAAATATTGAATCTATAGGCAGCCCAAGGTCCAACCATCTGGAAAAGTTGAACCTGTCTCTAGGCTGATGGGCCTCAAAGTCCAGACAAGAAATGAGGATAAAGTAGTGAATCTGTCTTCCGTTCCTCTTCACTTGAAAAATACAGGTATCCTCCAGAAGGGACTAAATTTTGCACTTCGGAATAAAAGGAAAGTAGTCAAGGACATTCTAGTAGAGGTGATAATTACCCCTGAGAAGCTACTCGAAGAATAAGAAAGAGAGCTGGAAATGGAAATCATCCAATCAATCTTGAGGCATCAAGAACCTACACTTAGGGACAATATAGCCAAACTATTTAGAGAATTGAAAATAAACGATCAAATAGTCCTACCAGCCGACAAAGGTGACGCAGTGGTGATGGATAGGAAGGAATATACAGAGAAAATGGAAAATATTCTACGACTTATCGACTGCTAGCAAAAGACATAAGAGTTAAAATTCAAAGAGCACTGTAAGAAATGCTGAAGTTAATAAATAGGAACGAGGAAATCTACAAATGGACCATAAATTCACTCATACGAAAGGATGCAAGAGCCCCAGTAGCATGCGGCTTGCCGAAAGTACACAAAGGAGAACAATTGAAATTAAGGGTCAACAATAAATACAAGCCAACACAAAAACTGGCGAAATTTATCTGCCTCGAATTAAAAAAGTGAATGACAGATTATCGAATACATTGAAGAACTCATATGAATTGTGCCAAAGAACCAAAGGCACCAATTTGGGAGAAAACCAACGTTTGGTAAGCTATGATGTACATGTGCGCTAAAATCACAGGAGGAAAAGCATTCACGGCACTACTGGATATCTTGGAAAAAGATGACACTCTGGAGACGGAGCTAATCCGTAAAGTCTATAAACCGATTAAACAACCTAACAACGTTCAACTACCGCATATATGAGCAAATATTTGGTCTGTCTATAGGCTCACCACTCTCTCTGTTGGCTAATGTTTACGCAAACAAGTTGGAAGAGAATTTCAAAATGCCACCTTAGCACCCAACAATAATTATGCGATATTTGGATGAATACTTCGCACTCTGGTTGCATGGGAAAGAAAAATTAGACGACATGGATGAAAATATCAAGTTTACTATGGATTTTGAAGTAAACGGACATTTATTTTTCTTGGATGTGGATGTAATTCGCTCAAAAAAAACCCCAAGAAACTACTTTTCCGAAAATCACATGGAGGAATAACCCTTAACTTCTGGTCTAACCATGCCTATGGAATAAAGATGGGAATACTCCGGAGTATTGTCATAAGGGGTCTTCTGACTTACTTATTCTGGCCTCTGATAAGAGGAATTGGAAAAACTAATTCAGATGTGTCTTGGAAACGGATGGTGATGAACAGATGGAAGGACGGAGATTATGAAAGGAAAAACGATGGATATGTCTACTTTCCAGCAAATTGGCTCGGAAGCTACTGCCGATACTAGGGAAATGGAACAAACCTCTTCACCGGCTTGCCCATGCAACATGAAAAAGCAAATATAATTGAGTGCTCCGGAGTCTACAGCACAAACTGCAAGGACTGTGAACAAAAATATATCGGAGAGACGGGAAGGACAATGAGTACAAGGATCGAAGAAAACCAGCGACTATGCAGAAAAATGGATACGGAAAGATCGGAGGCAGCCGAACACATCGCCCTTATCTGTCACACACTTGGCTGGGATGCAACGGAAAGACTCGACTCGTACGGGGAAAACATCAGGAAACGGAAAATAAGAGAGGCTGTGGGCATCCTCTCTCAAAGAAATCTGATGAACAGGAGATTAGAAATAGGAAGAGTCAACGATAATTTCGTGTACCGCCTGGGCAGAACTAGAGATTCAGCGAAGACATCAAAAAGAAGACGCTTGGAGTCACGACAACTGTTCAACAACATGAAGTTACATCGCCAAGGAACGACTCATGAGGGACGAAGGGAAGTCGAGGAAAGGTGATCACAGTAAGAGGAGTCAAACCTGGAAACGGCCAAAAATTTATCCGGGGGCTCCACTTGTTGCGTGTGGAATAGGTAACTAAAGGCTAAAGGTATAAGTGGGCCAGATATAGGTTACCATTGTGTGCTTGTGTGAATTTTTCGTGTGAGCCTTATTGAGAGGTGACTGGTGGCAGGCTTGACTACGGGTACACTAGCCAACGCACACATAAACACCCTAGTACCCTAGGCCTAGATGGGGGTTTCAACTCGAAGGACGAGAGAAGTGTGCTTTTTACGATTCAGGGGGAAAAAGGGAAGCGGTGCATTTTCACACCAGCGGTTATGACTTAAGTCGGACACAGCCCCAGATAATTAGACATGTGGTAGTGGATGGGAAAGAGGATGAGTCATGGGTTTGAAGCCTGGGGATAGTAAGTTTCCAAGGCACTGGCATGGGGATAATCTGCTATAAATCCTCAAATATTGCGTAATTGAGGACGGGAATTGAAGTCAGACAGTGATTTTGATCATAAATACGAATACGAAGAAAAGTTGGGTTTCGAGGAATCTTTTGTTTCATAATTGTTGGGCTTACTTCCATTTCGAGTAAAAGTGTTTGGTGAAGAGATTCGAAGGTCGGTTCCACCAGAAGACGACGGCGAACTCCTCTTGACCAGCTGTCAATTGGCTTTACTGGAAGATTCATGCTGACGCTGTTTCCGAGGCAATCTCCT